TACAGTATCCACTAAAACACTTTTCAATGCTTAATTAGGTAAAGAATGTCCACTTTGGCCAAGTTTGAATCAAATAGTCAACCTACGCATCATTGTCTGGTGGTAGATTTCTACTGTTTGAAAGAATATCTGTGGCACAGAAACAAGATATAGCAAATACTGGGTTTGTATTCCACATTTAGCGTTTGGGTCAAAGGCTTGATTTAATTTTGGCCTTAATGTTTTAGTTTAGTTTATAGGTTTTTTTTAAACCTACCCCATACAAGGTCCCTATTTCTAAGGATTAAAGTACTTCTATTATCTAGTTAACTAAGGTTGTTTTTACAAAAAAAATCACATCTACTGTTGTGTGGCAATTATTTTCTTCACACTGCTTTTGCACATATGTCTTGTGATGTTGGAAGGAGTGAAAACGAACATATAATTTAATGTACAATATTGAATTAAAGAGTACAGATGTGCTGAAGGACACTTTGGTTTTTTATTTGCATAAAATATAAATATTCTAAATGTTCTACTAAGTCAGACAGCCATTTGTCTTTTCTCAATAAACAAGTGATTCATCTTATAATTCTGAATATAAGGAGAACAGCTCAACCTGTTTAACTTAAAATAATATTTCTGTGACAAATTGTATGTGTTTGAACACCTTTTCAGAATATTTTTAGTTTTGCAAATAGGGAAATTTTAATATTGGGTTTAGCCCATGTGGTTTAATTTCTAAACTAGAAAAATGTTACACGTTTGGCTAAAATATGGTGGTTTAGAACAATTCATATTGGGAAATGTAATACATTTTTAATTGAGCTCAAAGAGTATTGGAGTATTATTTTTCTGGAAAAAATAAAAACAACCTTAAATATCTAAAAAACAAGCATAAAAGACTAATGGACAATTTAGTGAAGGTTTATGAAATACAAGAGCTCAGACAGAGACTGGCTGTGACTGAGTTATGATTTTAACGTAATCACCAAAGTAAGGTAGACAAATTCAAGAATTATGTTGCCAACAAAAAATGTCAGTGACAAGATTGTTTCATCAATGTGTGGTTTTCTTAAACATTCTGCAATACATCCTGTCTTGATGTTTTTTCCCCCTGTGTTCTCCGGTCAATTCAATTCTAATATTAATTTTTTATATTTGAAATTGTTATGGTACAGATCGAATTTTCATGTTAAATCCTACCATTGTATCACAATCTAACAAGAATAGTTATACATTTTGTTTTTATTAATAGACGGAATGATACCTGTGAGGGAAAAGGCAAAATAAACACTAAATCTGGAGAATGAAGAGGGGGGAGGGGCTGCTAAAATTATCATTATACAGAGATAAAAGCCACATTGTCATAGCACATTATCATGTTTTGCACGGCCTCCATCATTTTGTTATTTGTTTTCTTTGATTTTTTTTTTTAAACTTGTGTTCTTTTAATACTCTTCATTGAGAATGCATGTGAGGGCTTACCATATGAACATGTTCTCAGTACCTACTCAGATCTTTCTGTAATTTGCATTCTTTTGTGTGCAGATAAAGGCTGCATGAGCCACCTATTCTGAGGACAGAGTTTACCAGCTGCTATCCACTGCTAGTCCTCATTAGGAGCCTGCTGTGCTTCTGAGAACCACACCACATGTTACACCCTTCCTCACCCACACATTAGCCTGTTACTGCTCCCTAAATTACCAGCTACAAAAGGTTGCTTTGCCCCTCAATGCAGACAAACGCCTGTCCCCCCGTTCGAAAAGGAGCCGCGCCATGATCTCGGCAAACTAATTGAGTGGGGGGCAAAGGCTACTGTTTTAAGCAGGCCAACAGGTTGTCAGAGGAAACGCCATCATGGCTGACATCTTAATCTTTGTGAAATGCATTAAAGTTGCCATGTGTTGGAAACAGTACTTTTCCTTTCGGCGTTTAAATGCTCAAGACAAAACAGTTCTTTCAAAGGCACTGTTATTAGTAGTGTTTGCAAATATGGGCATGTTCACACAATGGAGAGCGCAGGAGTGTTGGGTAAATTGGCCACATAAAGAGGTACAGTATAACTAAGGAATTAATGGTATTACCCACAAACAGATGTAAAGCATGAATAGGAAGATGTAGAAAAGTAACTGTCTGATGCAACTAAAATGAGAGAAGAGAATGATATTTTTTAAATCAGTTCAAAAATCTAACCCTGGCATTTTACCCTCTTACACTTTATAAACTTTGTCTTAGGTGTCTGTTTCCATTAACTTCTCTTTGCTTCTAGATTATTACTGTTTTGTTCCGTCTGTGGTATACATGTTCTTTTTGTCAGGATTTTTATGGTTGATAATTGTTTTTCCTTTTAACCTTAAATTGGGAGCTTCTTAATGTGACAAAACTACCTACATAGTTATCTTTCTTTCTTGACCCATACATTATTCATTGAGTGGTATTATTAAGAACACTCAACAAATTAAGCATAATTGTGGTATAATTCATGATAGCTATAACATCATTTTCTAATTTCATTTAATTATATATGTTTTGCTTTTTACTCCATGTTACAAAAATAAAATTCTTTGGCTAGCTATGTAGTTTTAATAAGTGCAAAAATAACTATTTTTATTAGCTGTGACATTAAGAATGAGAGAAACCTGAGGAAAAACACCACTTGACGAAGTGTTCTTAAAATATTTTATGCAAGAAATTAAAAATATCCTTATGTACAATCATTTAGTTAATCCATCTACTGTGCGAATGTAAAAAAAGAAGATAACCGTCCTTTTGCAAACCATCTGAACTGTCCTTCTGTATATTTGTTTACAGTATGTAATATTGTACTCACACACAACTGTCTTAAAGAGGTCTATTGAAATATCTGTATCATGGAAATGGTGGAATGTGGAACAATGAAATTTGGCATGTTTTTAAATATAACTTCAGATAACATGCTCCTATGACAGTGTTCCTTTCTGTGTGCCATGCACCTTCATCCATGCCAGTCATAACGGATGCAGAGAGTGACCACAATGTGGCAATTTAGTGCCCTCTGGTGTGTGCAGTTACAGTTCATGGGAACATATTCCTTTCAACCCTATTTGTATGTGTTTAACATTTCATTTTTTTACAATATAGGTGTTAAAATAGGCCAACTAACTCTGTAAAAACCCTATTCATGTTTGATGCTCCTAGCATAATCATCCATGCTTGCAACATCAATGGTATATTAACCACAAGCAGACTTGAAAGTGTAATTATAAATATATGTTAAAGAACTTGATTTAGTAAACATATATTTTTATGTCATAGTTGTTGTTAATGATATTCAAACATTTCACATAAATATTTTCTGTATAACAGACAGTGTGTGCCATCTTTGGATATGTTAATACAGAAATACAAGGAAGTGTTTCCCAAAAATGTCAACAAGAAACAGGTTCTTTGAAACACCTTTTGAAAAGCTGGCAGGAAAATATTGCTCATGTGTTGCAAACTGGATTTCAATCTAGCAATGGTAGTGATCCTCATTGGTTGAAGGTTCTTGGAGCTCTGCATTTCCATGTAATAGGTCCTGTATTATATTACAAACTCTAAAAACAGTAGTCAGCGGTCTATTTTTGACATGTTACTCGTTCAGTGTGTTTAGTGGTTTCAGTTACATCAGGTTTGATTTAATCTAGATTTACTTCAGTATTTAGAATTGGGAATACAGCAGTCTATCCCATAGCTGTATCTTACTGGCTTTCAATAAAGGAATATATCTTACAGTGGTTATCAGTGAAGACGTTGTATAATGTAGATTTCAAGTAGATCCATAAAAACCCTTAAAGGGGACTGCAATGCTATTTTTTACATTTTGGGGTTATTAAGAATTGGCATTGGCAAAAAGTACATTTTAAACTACAATGATGGTACAAAGTACACAGTAACATGAAAAACCTCCAATTTATATCACAAAATAGACTAAATTTCCAGGTATGTGTAGCACCATATTGCCGTCTTTGTCAGTAATTCTGAACGAGACAACAAACCGTCCGGTGACGTGAATCAGCCCTTTTACATTACAATATAAACAAGCAGGCTTGTGAATACATTTCTTTTAAACCAATCGAAATATTGCTTAGTTGTAAAAATATTTAATGCACATCTAAACTTAGATCTTTAAAGATAAAAGCTCTTAATTAAAAAATCACGTAAATCATGAAGATAGATTTTCTTTTCTATCAAGCACTGATATCATCCTATGACTCCGTTCTATTTTCAGTTGTTGCTTTTTATGAACAAAAATGGTAGGAAAGGAACTTGGTTTGAGCACGTGCTTTGGTTCCTAATATGAAATATATTTTAATTTCAGAAACTGACCTCTCTGGCTTTATAATCTTGTAGATTAAAAGCAGAGAAATTTTCAATACACATGTCCTATCTCAAATTGACAATATTTGAAAACCAACCTATTTCTGTTGCAATAATGTTCTATAATATCATGAAACCAACATATACAAGGTGACATGTTTTCATGTTTTCTTTATACATTATGTAGACTGCTGATTTGAATGAGTGCAATTGAATTGAATTCAATATATTGACTTTGAGACGCTTTGCAGACAAATACTACTTACTTGTTAACTCTGCATTCAGATCATGTTGGCACATTTCTGTGGTGAAATGCCTGCTGCACAACCTTTATTTATTCGCTCATCCATCATGCTGAATCTTATGGATAAACTTGTCGATGGGACCAACATCAATGTCACGTTTATTACCCACCTCTTGGATGGTTAAATATCCCTTGGAAAATGAAACGGTTTGAATTTCTGCTGATCCAATCCTCTGTTCTGTGAAAATGAGAAACGTTGTTTGGAGACATGTTTCTCATTTGCTTACAGAGACTAGTGAGCAAGAAGGGCCATTGAACATCATACTTTTTGGAAACTCTCATTCACGCCCCTGCTGAGATCAGTGGTTTGTGACAAAATGACAAGACCATACAGAAAGCTATAATTAATTTTTGTAATCTCTCTTCTTTGTTGTAGACACTGGTCTGGCTGCCAAGAGAATGGACCATCTCTTCTTTCCCTCCAAGAGGCAGATAAGACCCTCAGGCAGTGTCACACCTGTTCTTCTTTACTGCACAGGAACATCTGTGCTCCAGTATGTTTGCTGTAGACATAACCAATGTTCAGCCTATGTAGATTATTTATTGAAAACTGTGTCACAGCATCAACCAAAAAGATAATCTCGGTTGTGTAACTGTTAACAGTATGCAGATATTTCAACAAGAAAGAACATACAGTAAAGAAGCTGGGGTGAAAAAACAAAATTAAAACAATATTCAGTGAAATACAAACTAGTCTAAATTATAAAAAAGTCTGAATCTGCAGAACTCTATTAAGTTCATAGAACTAGTGTAAGAAACAATATAAAACAAATCAACAGTGATAAAGGTGAAAGCACCTTTTCTTTTCTTGTGTCAGAATATATCATATTTTTCAAAGTTAATTCACAAGGGGCAGTGGCAGTTCTCTTACATCTCATATAAGGTTGGGAATTTTGTTTGAGCAATATTTGTTTCTTGAGGCCCTACAGTCCAGATGTTTCAGGCTTGAAACAGCATTGCCCATTTGAGAGGAGATGCCTTGAGTGGCAGTGCACTGTAAGCCAATCACAGCCACATCTGGTGGGCTAGAGTTCAGCAGGGTATTCTTTGCTTGCTGCTCAGTAGCATTCCTGGCATAAAATTGTGAGTGTGCAGTGCCATCAGTGAATGAAGGACTGCTCCTCCAGTCTGCAGAGTTGACAGGAAGACTTTGAATAAATACTTTGTTACGGGGAACTTTATTTTGTGAATAATCCATAACAATCTCTGAAACATTCATAAATTCACAATTTACTGCTATGTAGACGTTTAACAGAGTATGTATTGTTGTAAGGTTTCCAATTTTTCCCTTCTTCATACAGAAGCATACTTTTATAATCTTCTACTGGACTGTAAATCATTTCATTTTAATCTAAAAGTTATTCCCTAAAGGTCTGTATTTTGTAGTACCAAAGGTAGTCTTTTAGCTTCATGGAGGTGTAGAGAGGAGCAAATAGTGTTAATTGCAAGAGATACCTGACAATGAATCAAGTACATTTGATTGGTAAATCCAAATGATTAACTGCAGCCATAATTTATACACATCTGCTCATGACATATCTGCTCTTACAAATACAAATTTGCCTGTATTTTGATTAAGTCTTTGATGAATGTGAATTAAAGACTATTAAATGGCTAAATGAGTTTCTTCTCATCACCCACCGTAAGCTGTACTGACAGGAAACAAAGTTACCTAATAGCAGAAATCACCACCATAAGAGGAGTTTTAAGTAAATTGTTGATGCGTATAATGCAGATTAATTGCAATTCCTTATAGTGTCTAAGGTGTATACGTCTTTTGTGTATACGTTATCAGAAAGCCATTTATTCCAGGTAGCGGTTTTGGCAACTCGGATCCCATCCCAGAAGCAAATGGGGCATGGCAGAATTACAACGTGGATATGAAACCATTTTCTGAAATATAATACGCTTGCTAGATGCTTGATTTTTATACAATCATCATTCTGACTATAGTTCACTTTTAATGTACTAGACATGTTTACATGAAACAGCTGTCTGGGTTTAGCAATGGGAGTTACATAATCTGACATCAGTTACTGTGTCTTGTTTTGTTTGATTACAATCTCATCAGTTTATCATGGCAACTATCCATCCTTACTTTTATGATTGGCCTCTGGAGTTCGGGGGTGAATATCCTTGTGTGTTCCAGAAAATGTCCTGCAAGACTCTCTTAAAAAAATGGCACATGGCCAGTTTCTGTTCGAAAATGAAGGATCCCTAAGGAAATCAGTCATAATACTTGCAAGAAAGTACATGACATCTGATTTTCAATCAAAGTCTTTTTGGAATTCATGTATAGCTTGTTTAAGTCATGTCAACAGCAGCCAGGTGCTTCAATTGTATTCATAATGTGTTAAAGTTCAGGGCATGCTTCATTTGAACGCAATTTTGTAACCATCACAACACTTCCAAAGAGGCTATGTTGCTATAACGACATTCATGGTTGCCTGTGACTAGTTCTCCAAAAGACATAACAGGGACACTGTTAAGATAAAACAACATTTGGCATGGAATAGAACATAACATATTTTAGGATTTGGGGATATTGTAATTTGTAAATAGGGATTAGTAGTGTAGATCAGATTAGGATAAAGGTGTGCATTGGGATCATTATGGATATATGATCTGCTTTTCCTGTAGAGCATGAAGAGCATGAAATTCTATATTCCAAAATTATATATTTGCCATCTAGATTTCACATACTATCAGTACAAGAAAACTAGTACAAGGTACAAAAGTATCTCTGTGTGGGTTCTCAGAAAGAGGCTATATAGAATGGGAAAAATATTATCCCATCTAAAACATGGGCAAAAACTAAAGTTCTCAAATTTTCATGTTCCTTTAATTTGTGTTAATAGCTTATTGTGTGTGGATAGAATAATAAGATAAAGTAGCAAGATAAAGATTTAATTTCATTCATCAAAGTGAAACAAATGAGTGCATTGAAATGAATAGCCAAAAAACGTAAGTAATTTTATAATTAAAGTGGGTTATTGGGTACCGATCTGCAAGGCATTGTAATCCTGTGGTGTTCAGCAGCCAATATTCATTTGGAGCATTGAAAGCAGTTAAAGCGACATAAAAAACTGAAAAGCAAAACAATGTTGGGAACCAATTAAACTAAAAGCACAATGTGATAGCAAAACAGGGCAAGTTATTTTGAAAGTTCAAAAACAGGTGGCCAAATTCATTATACATGATTATATTAATCAGAAAAAAATAAGATTTCACCAAATGAAAAATATTCATATAATTAAAATTTAAATCCAGAGAAATGCATCTTGCTGTTATACATATTGCTTGTCCTGTAATATACTGTATATACCTCTGCTCTTTTGTCATATCATTCTAAGAATGTCAGTATGTAAGCTGTTGCCTGGTATGTTTGTCAGTAGAACCTACTAATGAATTTATAGCAAAATTAGAGAGAAGGTTAAAATTCTTATAAATTAAAACTGAAGTATGTGTTGGCAGGGAATGTATGACAGATTGAGAATAAACTGATAAAAATTGATATAAATAAAATGATCAAACTTTTTTTTGCTAAAATGAAAAAATATACTCTAGCACTTCCTGAAACTTTTTTATAGGGGATTGAGCATTTCTCTATAAACAAACAGAAATACATTTCTGTTACTGTCATTTCATGAATAAACTGCAGTAATTTTAAAATAAAAGATCAAATCATTTTATTGTTATAGTCAATATTTATTAATTGTCAAACAAATATGCATGAGTATGCATTCAAAATCTAAACAGTACAACATGGTATTTTAGACAATTTCTGTCAGCCTTTGTCACAGGAAAGAAATGATATGATTTTAAGAAATTAGAATATAATAAATTAATGGCAAGATCCTTAATCTCCATACAAATAACATATAAGTGACAATCTTATGATCAAACAGAGCAAGCTCATATGAAAAAATGACTAACAAGTTCAGAGTTCTGGAGTTCCCAGATATTAAAGATAAAGACTTTATCTGACTGGCTGACACTACATTCTCCTGTAACAAATAAAAATGAATAGTATTATATTCTTGGGGGGACTGAAAATCTAGTTTTTTAACATCTGAAATTCTTTGTTTGCAAGATATTCTGATTGGCAGAAGATCTCAGTTCTGCTTTTTTCAAAAACATATTGAAATCATGAAGATGCCACAATGTTTCTTAATATATAGGGGAGGTAACCCAACTGATAATTATAAGTAATTTAAGTTCAGTTATATTCATGTTTGAAATGCTGTCATTGTATGAAGGTTGCTAGTAGTTGTGGCTGGTAATTTACCTCCTGAAATTATTGCATGTCCTCAGACTGAGCTTGCACTAATTGTCTTTCCCGTATGACAAAGCTATAATTTATGTTCTTTGAAAATGCTTTTGTGACTTTAAGTGTGCTTTATTTGTTGTGCTGTTACACAGCAATGTTTCAAGGCCATTCCTTTTCCTCCAATATACAACTGAAAACAGAATTAAAAGTAAAAGCTGTGTTCCTTATGTTACCGCATTGTACAGACGGCCATAAATGTTGCAAGGAAAGGTTACTTGAATTAATTAGCTATTCTTGTAATCGAAGATAAAACAGCGATCTAAATCCTAAAATACGAAAATATAAAAAACAAAAATTTGACCAGTTATTGAAGATATCATAGCATGATCCCTAATATTTTGATGCATTTTCATTTAAAATTGTACTTCTTCAACAAAAGCTTTCAAGAAGCTAATATGCCTGTGATCATTACAAAAAACGAGATCCATGACAAATATTATGCTAGAACAGTAGGCATGCAACAAACATCATTTTGTCTTAAAAAGATTATTATAGATTATATGTGTGTGATTATTTTGGGGATATTTGTTAGCCAAGACCAATTAAAAATCAACTGCATTTGAATTCATTCCATTATCTGCTGGTTTTATTTACTTATTTAAGTGTCACTTGTCATAAGCACTTACATTGGCACAAGACAGTATTTTACCGAAACATTGTGAGTGAGGTATCTGGCTCAAGAGCACAATCATAGTGACCTACTCTGGACTTGTGCTCTCAATACTCCATCATGCCTGTATCATGCCGGTATGATAATAAAGTTACTAAAAAGATTTGTATCTCTAACCATAGCCGCTTAGATTGTAATATTTAAGATGAATGAGACACATTAATTCATACTCTACAGAGATTTCTGATAAAAATGCAAACTGGTGCCAAATTGGGAGAATGGAGACAAATCAAATATCTTAGCAGATCATATGTCATAGAACAAGGGTTATTAGCTTAAGGTCTAGAAAAGGTTGTTCAGCCATGTTGTTGTAACCAGTTCTCTTGGGATTGTGATTCTTCACAAAATAGCTGGGTGAGATAATCAATAACCTAGTAGCAAACAAATAAGCACAAGTGGGTACGTAAGCCTTCTTATGTACTTTTAAATTTAAGCATTGGAAAGTATGAAAATAATGCCTAGACTTCAAATTGACCACTCTCATATCATCAGAA